ATCACTCTGAAAAGCAGCCGAATCATCAGCGTAAATGGCATTCGTATGGCATCCGTCCGACATGGTCTCCCAAGCCGATTACAGGTAAGCACTTAAGTTCGTGCTGCGCGAACGCCTAGTACTAAAACCATGCTGATGATGGCACAACATCGGCGAGACGTGATAGAACACCTCATCATACGCAACCCGTTCCAGTACCTTTCCGAAGAGACGAGGAATGGATATGCTTCTGTTATTTGACGGCTCCTTCCGGTCGCCTTTCTTGAAACTGGATATGATGTTGACCTGCTTCCACCTCTCCAGGGAGACACCAGAACTCACCGAAAGGTTACGAATCTCGGTGAGCCGAGCTACTGACCCCTTCGTACACTCGGTATATGCATGCTATGTAATTTCGGCATGTAACAACGTATATGCAACAGCGCATATGTAACAAATATGAAAGTAAAATTGCCTCATTACAGAGCAGGCCAAAGAAAGCCCTGCTCCAGGTCCCAAACAGCCGGTGTAACAGCCACGAGAGGTTAAGTTCTACTAACGAGAGCTGTACGGTTTTGTACAGACAAAACTACATCTCATTGTGTACAGACCAGCTTGTAGTGTGGTGCAGGAATGGCTCGCTTTGGAGTGTTTTGTGGAAGGATGTCAAATCGCAATAACCAGAGCAGATGAAGATGTTAAACTCGCAGGCGAATGGCGTAGATAAACGCGCAGGCACATCGCAGGCGGATGAGGCAGTTGCAAGTCACTGACAGATCTGAAAACTGTCCGACGCCAAGCCATCTGACCGCCAGTAATCTGATGGGAGGTGAGCGACGCCATCTGGTTCGAAGACAATGCCAAATATATGACGCTGTAGCTTAAGTCGGGGTAGATTGAGTCATTTAGATTGGTATGTTCATTAGCCAGTATCCACCAAACAATATTTGTATTTTCATTGCCAGGATTGCCAAGATAGCAATGCATAAAACCGCAATTCATTAAAAAATAATTGATGTTCGATTACATTCGTCGAGCTTGGAATTTTGCTAAGCATTTCCCTTTCACTCTCAATCTCAAATCCCTCTACAGATCTCTCTCATGAAGCCCGGTGAAACAAAACGGGACATGTATGTCTTGATTGCGACTCAGCAGGCTTGAGGGCACCCGTCTAGCATTGCTGGTGCGTTACACTGGACAAAACAAGCTGCTACACTATCTGACTCATTGAAAATACACGTATACACTTGACGGTAAAGGACAAAGTGTGCTCTTACCGTGTACATGCTTGCCGTGATCTTAAAAAATGACAATGACAGACATCGATCGTTCCCATCCCACATGCTCCTACGTAAGCCAAGCATGCCCATCCGTAAAGCGAACGGCCATAACTTTTCGGAGTCTTGAGGGGCCGTGACGACACTCCTGAAGACGGCCTCGCCCCGACCACTCAGATCCGTCGGCTGGTGCGGCTGGGTGGGTGCGACCTGTCATTGACGGCAGCTATCTCCAGTCTCCAGGGCGACCAAGCGAGTCCAGCGTCATATATACTGACTCGTGAGTCATACTCACTGGGGCCGGTGTGCATCGTGATTTGGCACGTCATTGCTGACCGTTATCCAGTTTCTAACCATCGTCACCACCCTGTCACCTATAGACTAGGCGCACCTCCCCTCGTCATTCATGCGGAGCACTGCCACCTGCATATAGGTTACTCGACTGAGACCGGCCGCATCATGTGATCACGCACCGCTTTGTTCCTCCGCGCGCGGCGGCCCGCCGGCTGCGACCTTGACCTCCGATCGGACGCCCCGCTCCCTGTCTGCCTCTCCGGATTGGCTGCCGGCGGCCGGTCAGCTGTTGCGCGGTCTGCGCCAGCCACCGCATCGTCCGCACATGGTGGGGAAAACCCATAAACGCCGGCATCACCGGCACCGTCAACGGGGTTCCCGCGGCGTTATGATCTGGAAGGCGGCCTCGGAGCGCGGCAACCTTAAAATCGACGCGTTAAATATTCGGTCCCTGGCACCAAAACCCATCGAAATATCTGACGACCTCAACACGTTCAGATACAACATTGTGGTCAGAAACAAAACGCGGTTGAAAACAGTGTTCGAAATCGACATTAGTGCTTTGCGGACGCTCAGCATGCATTCCGACAGGAGATCTGATCCCGGAGGCTGTGGTGGTGTCGCGGAGCTGTGGCGTGGTGGCGTTTACCAAACAAAATTAGGGGTTGCGCCTCTACGAATGTGGCGTCCAAAACCGAATCTATTCGGAGTGCTCTGGACTGGGACCACCATAGCACCCAAAACCTTTATAACCAAACCATCCAGATTGTCGGTCACTGTGTTGCATGCGTGAGGTCGTGCTCCCGAGCACGACCGCTGCTCTGGTGGCCGACTTTGACGACCTGTACGCACAGTTTCAGCATGGGTTTTTGAATTATCCCGGAAGAACGGCTGCCATTACGGGCGAGCTGAGCTGTTATAGGTTTTGAATGTAAATGGCGCCAAGCGTGAGTTAGAGACAGCCCGGATAGGCACTCTTCCTCAGTCCGCAGCCCAACACTTGTGTTATTCGGGATCATTGTTAAGCGTTTTATTGTCATTCGTGATTTTATAAAGTGCCTGGTTATCCGGCACCGTCATCTCAGCCACCATCAGTGCATTCGGAAGATCTGTGGCATGCCTACACACCGCCGCTTTCCGATCATTATGACATTTTCCTTCTCCTTGATTCCACCGCTGAGTGGAATCAATGTGGACGAGCTCCATCGTGATTCTAAGAATTGTGGTTAGAGCCGCCACATCTGAAAATTTGAACATTTTCCTCAGTAACTTTCAAGACCTCGTCGACTCGCAAATGTACAGGCGGATTAGCACTCGGAATCGCTAGCACCACCTATCCCCGCCACGACCCTGGCTCTCCTGACACACCGAAAGCCAGCACGGCAGGCATTGGCCCCGGCTATGACGCATGACGAGCCGCGAATAGGGTCGTATGGAGTATTATGCAATCGGCTGCGACACAGGGTGTGATGTTGCCGCTGTATCACGCCACGGGACTGCGGCACGGGACTGCGTTTTTAGTGAGCACCAACCGCAGCATAGTTTGAAAGAGAATCAGCATTGCAAAGCATGCCATACTCCTGATGAGTAGAACCAATTCTTTGTTGACGTTAGCGAACTTGACCGTACAACACATACAAAGGGAACTGAAACGATGCGTTACCAACCACGTGAATGTTTTTTTTGCAATGCTTGACAATTTGCCGTGTTTGTAACGGCCGCTCTTTTCTTGTTAGTCTTATCTGCTTTATATCAATCACTTGTTCTCTGGTAGCCCCTGGGTTTCGACCACGCGCAGGACAATCCTCTAATGCAAACAATTAGAAAGCAAAATATGTCGCGGAAACATTTGCTACACCACCACAAGTTGTGTTGCGGACGCATTGTGCATGACGACCCAAAGCTGGTCAACCTATACGAACTCAAAACTGTTCGAGAAGAACCCGACCGTCCAACCAAGTCCAACCCAACATAGGCATGAAATACCCATCACAAGGACCGCTCTGAATTTCATCCTAAACTTAAGTCACAGTCGCGGTAATCACCGCTTTGCAGTGTAAAAAAACATTTTGGAAATCGCCATAATGTCGATAAATTTGAAACGTGCGAGATAGGAGTACGTTTTGAACGAAACTTAGGTCTCGAGTCCAACGTTTAATTTCCCCTGAAGACAATTCCCGTCTGACGGAAACGCAGTTCAACATTCTCGTTCATAAGTGACCACCATTGTTGCTCACAGAGGCCTTTCCGCGCCACGTACTTGTAGCAGGTACGTATTTTCGAAACACTCAAAATTAATTCGCCAATGGAATCCAAAATTATCTTGGACAGTGGAATTTCTTGAGGACAGGGGAATGTGGAAAAGGAAGTTTTCGTGTCGTATGTAAAACAATATTTTCTTTAAGTTGATTCGACTTGGACTGAGCTGTGGTCTATAACCTCCGAAAATTCACATAGACCGAATGTGGTAATATTTTTGCATGTAATCAAGGCGCATCAGTGCGAACGTTTTACCTCGATAAAGGATGCAATAACCGCCTCGTTCTAAGCTATGAGACGTCAACGCAAACCATTTGTCCCGCAGCAAATTTTTCAATGAGTATTTTAACTTCTAACACAGTATCATTGCATTATTCATTACAGTAACACCACCATTGAAGCGCTTCAAGCATACGATAACTTATTTCCGAATCCGTCCGATGCATGACAGACGCTATGCGTAAAAACTTCCTGACCCTAGTGACAGCCACTTCAACCGTCGACCCCTGTAACTCATATAACCCTTATAAATTTGTGTTATTTTTCGCAATAAACTATATCTCTCGTTCAACGATCCTTTCTCGAAAGTAAGCGGCCAAAAATGTGCTCTTAAATGGGGGGGGGGGGGGAGGAGGGGAGGATTTTCCTGGACTGATTCCTCTGGATCTCAGGCTCTTTATCCTGAACTTCAACACCTTTCTAGAACGATCTCCAGACCGTCTCAAACTGACGGAAAAAAGTGGGTTGGTGGGGGCGCAAGAGAAAGCACATCGGTATTTTTGTCCCCAGCTCTTGAGCATAGCGCTATAGGAATGGGTGATGTATGGACCTAATTTTAGAGACCAACATAAACCACATTGGATGACATCCGATCACAAATATAAGTAGGTATATGTTAGGCACTTCACTCAGATATAGGGCCATCGAGCCTCAATATAGTTCACGCGGGCGTGCTTTGAATATGTCATCTGGACTCCTAAGTCACAGCCTGATGCCAGAGATCTCCCTGGCGTTAATGAATATCTGCTCCCCGATGAATGCAGCTGTTATGACCCGCTCCGACATTTCCTTCAAATTAAAGGCATTGATGTCATATAATTCCCCTCCTGGTACATATGGAAGTAGCATGACAGCGCTGAACATAATTGTCTTGCTACGAAACTGGCGCACCTCTGTTGAGTTGCGAAAACGGAGGTTGAGCAGCTATGCGTGAGTCAGTTCATTCCATCTTTGTGAACGGCTAATTTCCAGACCTGTGTGAGAAACTAGAGGGGTGACTACCAGCCGGCGTGGTTGATCCGTTTTTCTAAATTAAGTGGTGAGGCGAGAAGGATACTATCAGCATATTTTCTAACAAGTAAGCATGTTGCGTACATAATTTGATTTAGCCTCGGTGTAAGCTCTGTAAGGCAAACTAAGCGTTCCCAAACCATTGTTCAGTTCTTCTGTGCAGATGTGGCATGGTTTTGTACATCAAATTTGCGTAGCTGACTGAAGACATTTGGTGTGTTCCTGAACTCTTCATTTGTCACAATGGAATGTTGTGTGGAACTTTACATTGAAAAGGAGTTTGATCACACATTGCTGCCAACCTAACGCATTGCATCCCTGGACATTTTGTGCAAAAGCCAACTTTATTTTCAGTTAATTAAAGCAAGCCTTCAAAGGAGATCTATTGTGTAATGTTGCATATAGCATCTTTACAAATGTAGAAAATGATGAGTAAGAGTGCTGATTGAACTTAGCAAAACTGTTTGTCAGCAGGTGGAGTAAAAAGCTTTTTACCCCATTCATGTATCTGTGATAATTAGGTAATATTTACTGACTTCTGCATAATAACTGTGATCCATTAATTGTTGCATATCATCAGCTATTTCCACCCCTCCCCCAGTCATGCACCAGTTATGTGAAGCAAGACATGTTTCCCTCCCTTACACTGTTCAAACATTTTTCAGAATTTTTTTAGCATGATCTAGCTGCATTGCAGCACAACATAAGCTATTCAGAACATTTTCACCCTTGTTATGCTTTGTTGATACCCTTTCATAATGCTTTCCATCCCCCCATACACAATATCATTTATGGAAGGATTCATGTTAGTTTAAAGCTTACTGAGTGCAGTGGTTGGAATATGTTTTTAGTTTTGGAAGCATGATTCTTCTACAATTAGTTAATAATCACATTATCCAGCTCTAATGATACTAAGTGTAGCCATCAGCTGAGTGGTCCTTTCTTTATTTGTAACAAAGCCTGCAGCATGAGCCACCTTGGCCAGACCAGACCCATTCTGATCAGCTTGTTTTCTAGATGCTCATCTTCACCACCATGGATGACAGGTGGATGCATCTCATATCAGCAAGGAACACAATTCTTTAAAAGGTGTGCTCTATTCATTGCTGGTGTGCCAAACAATGCTGTCATTTCCAAATGATCACTTGTTTTGGGATGCTGTAAGCATTGAAATCAGGTCTCATGAACTGTGCATATGAGGAGATGTAATCAACTGCATGGTGTAGGAAAATATACCAATGGAGCTAATGTGCCAGCGAAACTCACAATGAGGTATCTCTCTGGTCTTGAGTATGGCAACAATTAATGGGAAGCCCATGTTGAATGCAAGTTGTTATGGCCTAAATGGGGGTATATTGTGCTATGAGGGATTCTGACCTGAAAACCACTGACCCCTGCAGCTCTGGGCATGGCACCAATATCCATCCAAACTATTCATATCACTCTTGCTACTTTGATCTCAATTTCCAAACTTGCTTCTCTTTGCAAATTCATTGCTATCCTTAATTGAAATTACTGGGTGGACTGGGCTCATATCCGAGTTTTCTTGCAATATTATCTGTGGAATAGTGCATAAATGCTTTTCAGTGGACCTTTGCATAATATGTTTCAATCAATAGTGCCTCTCAATGGATTACTTATTTGTATTATTTTATTTTTAAGAACCCAAACTTATTTTTATTGCTGGCCAGTGGAGTTGGGCTGCATTAACTTAGTCCTTGGCACCATCTGCGTGGTAAGAATTTACACCATTCACATCTCAACTTGCATTGCATCTGACAACCAAGCAAGTTATCTTATTAGCTGGTAGTGATGGCAATACGTCATGAGGACCAAATGACAACATATGAGTACCAAATCAACAAGCCTCATACATGGTGGTAACATTCAAGGTATTGTTATATGTCCTTTTTATTTATTCCACTTAGCACTCATGTGTACTTTATACTTCAACCTTTCCCTTGTCACACAAGGAGGTTGAATGAATGAGGATGCTTGTTTTGGAAATTTGCATAAGCTTGGTCATGACTAAGCAGCCAGTTTAGCTTTGCACTTATCAATAACTGTTGAAATTTGCTTTGTGGTCCACTAGCTGAACCATGTGAATGTCCATAGTTACCATGCATATCCACATGCATGCCTTTTCATAAATTTGATGACTACTCAAGATATGAATATGTGAAATTTCCGAGCTGGCATGTAACTACATGCCTGCTTGCAACATATCAAACATCTTTGAAGATGAAAAAACAATGTGATGTCCATCTGTGAAGGCTGGAACCTTACTAAGCCAGGTTGATGAAACTGAAAATAATTGTGCGGCCATGAAGTTCAGGTGCTCCTGCCTGGTGGCTTCAAAGCAAGCTCCCCAAGATAATGAGCATTGGTGACTGACAAAGCTTCCTGTTCCAGCCGCTGTCTACACGCCCGTGATGGCGTCGATGGAGGTGGACACGATGGACGAAGAGGTGGCGGCCGGCTCGTCCAAGGGCGACAAGAAGCGCTTCGAGGTGAAGAAGTGGAACGCCGTCGCGCTGTGGGCCTGGGACATCGTGGTCGACAACTGCGCCATCTGCCGCAACCACATCATGGACCACTGCATCGAGTGCCAGGCCAACCAAGCCTCGGCCACCAGCGAGGAGTGCACGGTGGCGTGGGGCGTGTGCAACCACGCCTTCCACTTCCACTGCATCTCGCGCTGGCTCAAGACGCGCCAGGTGTGCCCGCTCGACAACAGGGAGTGGGAGTTCCAGAAGTACGGCCACTAGGCGGCGCGCGGCTCGCGCCGGCAGGGGCCGCGGCGGCCGCGGTGGCCGCGCTCTCCGGCGTGCCGCGGTCGCCAGGCGGCTCCGAGTCGGACGCGCTCGACGACGGCTCGAAGTCGGACGCGGTCGGCTCGGACATGTGCCCGCTGACATGGACTTAACCGCGGATGGACGGCCCGGCGCGGGCGCGGGGAATCGCGTGTGGTTTGCTATTGGGCCGCCGAGTGTGGTGTAGTGCCGATGCGAGGAAAAGGTCGCGAGCGTCGCATTTTGTTCAGTTTTCCCGCCGGACCTTTGACAGGAATTGCGTACTCTGGATCGTGAGCGTTTCCTCAGTTTCCGCGGAGTCCCGGACGAAACCTCAAATCATCATTGTTTTAATGTTTGCCATCACGAATGTTCCTGTGCGTTGCTAGTTGCTACATGTAATTAATAAAGCTGTGAAATTGTATGTTTGGTCAGCGTTTTCGCCAGCAATAACCGTAGCTTTTCTGCCACGTATGCATAACAAAAACTGGAATGTCGGGCACTGCCGGGATTGACAATGCTGCCCGAGATCTTTATCGTGATTAAGGCGAGCCCTGAGTAATGTAAAAGTCCGGCGGTGAACATCCCCTACAGAGCGGAAGATCAATGTCATCACCGACAATAGGCCTCATCCCAGTAAAGAAGACAAGTCAGACATGCAGGTCAGTTGTCAGCTTCAGACACATCAATCAAATACCTTGCCATTAATGAGAAGAGCCTTGAAATGCTGTTTTTTCTCGAAATTACGAATTTGAAATTCGTCTCCTGACAATCGACCACCAACATACCAGGAGCTGGCGTTACACGATGTTATCACCCGTGCCAGGGCGTACGCTCTGAAAGCTGTGTTCTATCAATGCAGCCAATGCTTGCTTGGTAACGTCGCTTAATTAGCACCGGGCACATGCAAGGCTGATTGCTGTCGTAATGTGAACTCCCAGCTGATAAAGCAGGTACGTTATGCCGCTAATATAGTCATGCAGCCTTGGATGTGCTCAGCCAGATGTCGTGCAATTATTCAGATAAACACGACTGCTTGGGCGGAGAGCACCCATTGAATTCCAGCGGGAGGACATGCCATCGCCGGGGGAGGTTAAGATCTTGCCAATAAGTTAAGCGCCCGCTGCGAGAAAGAAGCTGCTGTCACGACGGAGGGAGGGTCCCCTGCCCTGCACCATACGCATGCGATGTGTAGGGCCGTGACAGGGCCGTAGGATTCGGACTGGAAACTTCGATTAGATATGATTGAAATTTGCATTCTTTCACGGGATTTGTCCTGGCAGGCCCCTCAAATATCATCGAAACATGCCGTATCACTGTGTGGATCTAATGAGGGCTAGTTGGCCTACACTCGTTATCTTCTCATGTGGTACACAATACTAATATATATATACATATATATATATATATATATATATATATATATATATACACATATACATATATCTCTCTCCCTCTCCCTCTCACGTTCTCTCACCCTCTGAGAAGGTTTGAGACCATATATATATATATATATATATATATATATATATATATATATATATATATATGTATGTACATGTGTGTATGTATATATGAGTGTGTATATACATGGTGTGGGTGGATGTGTATACAATCTTCGATGCAGACGCAGGGCGCTCCCTGCCTTTCGCTCCCGGCATCCCGTGCTCTACGCTCTCAGACGCCGGCTCTGGCTACCAGACAAAGGGACCGGCGGGCACTCGTGCCGACCCTGCCAAGGCCGCCCGGTGTGCCCCTCTCTTCCGCTTTCTCTGCCTCTCCCGAGCTCTGCCCCGGCCGCACATTACTTGAAAAGCGGGTGGCATGCTGCACGCCAGGCGTGTTCCCATTTTAGCTCCGAGCAAGGTGAAATGAACCGCGGCAAATGAAGCCCTTGCGGTCTCCGTGTGTTGTGTTCGAGGGCAGTCGTAATGTTGGCCGCATGAGAGTAAATTGTAAAGCGATATCGTCTGCTTTGCCTTATTGTCAGCCTTTCATATTGCCCAGACATGTGATTAAAATAAGTCCAGACCAGGGCCTAAATTGAAAGCCGGTCTCCACAGGGTCGAGCCTTTCTAAAGGCGCTATGTGTACGCTGGAAATGCGTGCTCTAGAGCTTGCTGTCTTGCAAGATGGGAATTATGTCATTCCACGGGCGATAATCTTGTTTGCTGACGTCTTGATGCCATTGTGCAATGACATCCTATCCCTAGAGCTGCAAACTCGTTTAGTCATTAACCAAACAGGCCCAACGAACCTTCCGGACCGGTTCCACAGATTATATTTTCCTCATTTCTAAAGTGCGTTTAAAGGATTCTGACTCTAGGGTTACCTCACTTGAAACGTTCAATCACCACGACCAGACACAGCTAGATGTTTACTGGGCCCAAGGAATGGGGCCGCCTAAGCGTTAGTTACCTAAACGCGTAGATGGGTGCAGCTGCGGGATATCCCCCGGTTCCTAATTTGTTTTTGGCATTGGTTTAATATTTACGCTTCAATATTTTCACGAAGTTTTTCCTTTAGCACGTGCAGCATAAAAGTTCAGGATGATGGAAGGGTCCCCGGATTTCGATGATGCATTGGTAGACCATAGCTGTGTGGCTCTTTAAACTGAAGCAAATAATGTGAGGATGGGACTTGTTGAGCTAAAATCTGTCTATTCAATTAAGAAATGTTGCATGCTTTCCACCGAACTAAAACTGCAGAACGTTTCGCTAAATGTAGTTAATTTGAGGACAACAAATGAGCATCCAACGATAACTCACTAAATATGCTCCGAAACGTCCATAGATGAGACTTTCATCGCTCAGTGTTTTAGCTGTACACCCACTCCTTAACGCAATCAAACCTGTCGTCGGCACGATTATTCCTTAATTACCTTCGTCGTTTACCAAGCCCCGCTTCCATCGCAGTCTCGTCATGCCAGGTCGGGAACCTAATGTGAAGATTGGCCCGTTCTTCAAGGCACATAAGGAATCTCATTAGCATTCATTCAGTTTGTTCCGGCAAACCTGTGAAAAGGAATTGTAAATTGTCATTTACAAGGCAGCTTGCACAGGGCTCTGAGATGAAAGCTTATAAGAGCACACTCGGCATAGCACACATGTTCCACCAGTTTGCAGTTACTGCACGATATTGTACGGATTTCTTGCTTGATTCTCCGGGAAATCCATGCTTATCATTAAGTGACACCTGTCCTGACACATCTCCCCATCTCATTGTCCTCGACAGGATCCTTGCCAGGCCTGTGCTGACATGCGGCCCAGAGCTCCAGATCTCTGCCGTGGGTTTCACCAATCGCCGTTGGAGCTCGCAACTCCCAGTCACCAGTGGTGACAGGTCCCGCGGGCCTCCGGTCACCTGTGGTGACAGGTCCCACGTGTTCCTACTACCGCGGGTGACAGATCCCGCAGGGCCCCGGTCACCTGTGATGACAGGTCCCACGTGTTCCTACCATTGCCGGTGACACATCCCGCAGGGCCCCGGTCACCTGTGGTGACAGGTCCCACGTGTTCCCACCATCGCCGGCGACAGATCCCGCAGGGCCCCGGTCACCTGTGGTGACAGGTCCCGCGCACCCCGGCTGGGGCGCCGAGCGGCGCGACGGCGCATCGCGGCGACCCGACCCGGAGGTCAGCGGCGACCGGCGCGCCCTTGGCTGCCGACCGACCGGCTGTGAAAGTGGTCGGACCGGGCAGGGGCGCCCCGCCAGACCTCACACCAGCCGTGCCCGGACCGCACGCGCCAGGTGGCCGCGCGCGGAACGCCACCCCGCACCCCCAGACCCGCTCCCGAGCGTCGAGTGACGGTGGTGTGACGCCGGAAGCTTCGCAGCGAGCCGGGTCCATAGGGGCTCTCGCACCGCGTTGGTGACACCCAGTGACCGTCGGTGATCGGCGGGTAATCCAGGCGTGACCTAAAGCTGGACAGTGAGGCGCTCTTCAGGGAGACTGCCTTGAGGTTGGCTCGAGCCTCCGATCTCCTTTTCTGGTGTGCTAACTGACCCCTGGTCAGTCGCTCGCCAGGGAAGGCCGAAAGCGGCGAGGCAGGACAGTGCTGTGACCGAAGTCGAGTCGCGATGGGAGCTGGCACGGTGGTGTGCGTTCGCGGCTGTGCTGTGGCTTTGGTAATGCTGGCCGTGGCTGTGACTGGAGTCAGTTTTCCCGGAGTCAGGAACAAGTCCTTCCGCAGCAATTCAGGTTAGACGTCATAAACATTCTGTGCCGTGCTCAGTGTATTCCTGGGGTCATGCTGGATACTCGGCAACAAGGGAGCAGCTACAGCTTACAAAAACGGGCTCGTGTGCATTGATTCAGAACCAGTGGGGAACATTTGAGATCAAAAGTGCGTTGGGACGCGTGAGATGAAGATGGCTTTTTAGCTCATCACATTACTGCATAATTTAGATACATGTGTCATAATGGAGACTATCGCTAGAATTTCAATGCGTTGGTTTGAGAAGACATGCGTTTTAAGGCGTTTTGCTGAAGACTTAATAAAAATAACATTTAAATGGACGTTCTCACCTTTTTAGAAGCGTGCTGAGTGATAGACATACTCCGGTGACGCGAGCTGTATTATCTAACTGTTTTTACCCCTAAAATACCAAATCATATGCACACTGATTGCATCAAATGTGACAATATTGATTGCTTGCGTAGTACTTGAATTCAAGGGTAAAATGAATCAGGGAACTATAGAAAGGTCACGCGTATTTATGAGCAAATCCCAAAATGAGCGCGCCATGGTTTTTGAAGCGAACTGGTACCACAGTCCTCTGAATTATTCGTAAAATGGATGGGTTGCGGCTTATCAGGGAAGCGAAACCAGTCAAGGATGGTCAAGTTTAGAAAACGTTGAAAACTTAATGGGATCTAGCGAACGTGATGCTCCAATGCCATTGGATGCAGTATTAAAGAGACTGCTCCACATTTGAAGATATTGACGCAGGCATCACGCATGCTGGAAAAGGCTGACTTGCCACCACTGGTATGCTTCTAAGAGCAAAAGACTGCCTTAAGTATCAAAACTTCACTTTTCAGCAGATGTCTTCCTGAATACGTAATGGTTTGATTACATCATGAAACGTTTTTAGGGCGTCAGAGTCAAAGCCAGACTGACTGCGTCAAGGCTCCCACAGAAGCGGACAGCATGACTCGGTTGTGATACTTCTACGTGTTGTAAGGTGGCGCTGGTGGTTAATTCGTGTAAATCATTCGTTCCAATGTGATATGCATGTGTTTAATTCCTTTCTTGTGGTGTGCATGTATATTTTCCGTGATGAAATCTCCCTTCCTTGCATTTGCACTCTCGTTCATGGTGCTATTCTTAGGTTAACCGACCCTCAGGCCGATATCCGTCATAAGCAGCAGTTGCCTTTCAGTTTGTGTTATTTTGCACGGAACGCTGTTCGTGATTGAGCATCCACTCTTTTATCCGCTTTTTTGTTTTGGCTTGCATCCTCCCAACGCCTCGCTCGTGCGGGGCCGGCTGCACGCGCCAGCAACGAACGGCCGTCGGGCTCCTGATAGGGACCCCCTCTGAGCGCCGGCGCTCGCCCTGCAGCGGGTTACTGCGTGCGCTTAGTCTCAGCCGTTGGGACCCCAGGTGCATGTAGCTCTGCTCCCCGTTAGCCATTCTCCTTCATTCCATGGTCCTGAAATGGTCGCCATTGAACGAAAGAAATTTAATCCAAATAACCAGGCGTGATCGAGACGTAGCACTGTTTGCTCGATCCCATTAACCCAAAGTTAGCCATAAGTTAGCCAATTACGCTATACCGTTGGGACACTTGGTGTTGAACCACTGCAAACATGAAAGTTTCTCTGGCCACATTTTATTTGTCCAAGAGCCAATGAGGTGGGGTGCTTGCGTAGCGTTCCTATGACGTCATGTTTTGGTGGGTTTCGAACAGGGAGCGCGAAAGAACTGCACAAGTTCGCATGCGTCAAGCTCAGACACAAGATATTTTGAGCTCTAAAAATTTAGCCTGGCTGTGAGCTGCAGGGAACAAATTTGCAAAATAGTTATCTCGATCTAAAACCCCGTACAACTGTGGACAATGCCATCAGCTAATCCGTTTCAGTTATTATCTTCAGCACAATGATTATCAGGTTACTAATACGACCAACTTGCGTAAATTTAAAATATGTATTTTTGAGACCATCCTTCGCGTCTTGAGGCTCTCAAATGCAGTAAAGTAAAATAAAACAAGCTGTGCGTCCTCCGAATATCTACGTGTAGTCTACATGTTACAATTCATGCAGTGCAGGTAATATTGGCCGGACCGAGGTCACTAGCGTGCTATATTTAACCAGTAATTGTTTTCGTTTGAAGGCTGCATCGGTATCATTCCACTTAACACGCCCGAGCAGACAAATTACCAAATTTATATTCACTACCCATGTCGTTGAGTTGTGCCACTGTCTCGTAAACCAACACATAATTTGACCAGCTATCGACAATTGGCTCGCGGCAGTCACTAGAGATCAGTGGGCTTTTAGCGTCGACTGATTTAGTTACGGCTGTTAGCGCGAGAGGGCGGGGCTGACGACGTGGTTATGCATTGCGCCGTATCAATAAGCCGTCCATTGAAGATCACTTGCCGATAACACATGCCCGGGGAAGTGGCGATGCTTATCACACAGCACGCAAACGCAACGTCAGCTCCGCCGAGGCCGGTCCGCGATGGACGAGTCCATTCGTACTCGCATCAGGCGCCGCTCGAAGCACCTGAAAGCCCGTTAGCATCCGTCGAGGTCGGGCCGCGGTAGACGAGTCCACTTGGACTCCAGTAGACGAGTCCATTCGTACTCGCATCAAACACCGCCCGAAGCGCCTCGAATTATTGACGTGCAGCCGCCGGTATCGGCGAGTCGCCTGCACGAAATTCGACCAGCGCTGGTGCGGAGCGGCCCATTCTCGGGATATTGCACAGGCGATGTTTATCGGTGATTACTGTGCAGCTTCATCAGGCCGCTGTTTACGCCGCCAGGCGGAGTTCGAGAGGGCACGGCGCTGCTCGGTGATCTGACGCAGCTAGGTCATTTGTCAGTGTCCCCCGGCACCGGTAGGGCTGAGGTCAGGGAACGTTCGTCCCAAATACAAAACAGGACTATGGAGTACGGCCGGCTGGCGGCCCCAGCCGGCATTCTGACCCCGATCGAGCTATGCGCCGCTGGGGGCGATTTGGAAGCACTGTGGACTGCCCAAAGTTTGGTATTTGACCTATGGCGCGATATCATGATGCCGAGTGCAACTGCTCAGAGACAATCAACGTTGCTGCCCGTGTTTGCCTTGCTCTAACGTGCGCACCAAGCAGTGTTAGTCCCACCAAAATGCGCACACCAAACGACGTGATCAAACGACCTGACGGCCGTTAACCGTCCCGCAATGTGAACATCTTACTGCGCGTTGGCTAAAACATCCAGATTGTGAACACACGGTTGGAGATTTTCTGAAAGATGAATGTCTTTTCAGAACAATAACTGTTGAAACATTGGGGGACGTTTCCCGTCTTCTTTCGACCACAGAGAAGAGCTTTGTAATGCCAATACATGTAACGAATGCACCCAGCAACAAGTGTTGCCAACATCACCACCACCATCAGACATACATCACTGCAGCACTGGGTGGGCCATCATAAGTTTTCACGTCCGTCGGTCATTTCTAACCCCCCATCGCCTCTTTGTTTCCATTTGTGAGCATTCTAAGTTGATGAGCAAACATCCCCGTCATGAGGTGTCAGGCGATTACTTCAAACGAATGCACGCGCGATGCCTCGAACAGCTGCGTCACGATCAGCATGCGCACTCTAACGGACCAATGAGAGACCGTGGGGCGTGACCCAGCCGCTGCAAACGATATCAATGTTGCCCAACTGACCTTGAGCATGTGGCAGCAATGGGCCGTAGAGAAAGAATCAAGGCCACACCACACACGAGTCCCTGACCTGCATGATCTCTTGCAAATTCGTGTCAGGTAATTACGTCGCTTAATAGCCCAGTCGGTTGGTGACAGCTAGGAGCATACGCACTGAGCGTTCGAAACTTTTCCATAACGAGGGAGTTACGCGTGTTAACTGCGATTCGTGCATGGGAGCAAGACCCATATTTCGAGAACTGTTCTTCTATAAAAGAACGCCAAAGGCATTGATATCGACTTACCGTGCTGACCTAACCTAGTCCTGCAGTTCCGAAGACAAGCGGACCATGGTCCCTTTCCAGGCGACGCCGGGCGCCGGCGAAGGATAGGTGGGAGAAAACGCGACCCAACACCCCCAACGTCGAAACCGGTTTACGCTTTCACCAGGGCCTCGTAGATAAGGTCCTAATACACTGGGAAGGCACGCCTATCTAGGCGTGGCGCTCCTGGTGCTCGGAGCCATTGGGCTGCACGGCATAACTCGAAGGTGGTTTTAACAAGAGGATGCGGCTGGCGTACAGTCGCCAGTTTATGCCAGCCGAGTTTCGTCCTTCGCGAGCCGGGGGCGACGATAAGCGTATAGCGCGGCGATACCGCTCCGCCTCCACTGATTTACATATGCTGCAGCATTTGGAAGCATCGTTCCTGGCTCAGACGTATTGAGGAGAGATCGCATTGCGAATGCACGCGAGCTGGCCTGAGCATCAGGGACGAGGGAGCAATGTCTAGCGACGTCATGAACAAGAATTTGTGACAACCCACAGCCGCCAAGAATTATGCCCATGGAAACCATGTTCAAGTGGTTTCCAATCTAGTGGTGGCTGGCACTTTTACAGACCGGGCGTCAACTCTTTAACATCATCTTCTTTTGGCAAATACAGTGTGGGTGAAATTAACGCATGTAACGACATTCAAAACGTAAGAAAGACATAAGAACTATCCACACTTGTTACAATCCCGGATAATTGCAATTGAAATCTGCTGAATCTCCTAAACTGAAATTCTTACATAAATCTTCGACAAATCTCAAGCCTGGTGTTTTTATACCACTCTAGATATATTTGACCATAACGTCAGTGCATATTTACTGAATATTCCCTGATGTTTCAGTGTGCGACAGCTGCGTGGATGAAAAAGGATCATCTGCCTTGGACCGATGGAAAATGCCGGTCCAAACCCTAGGAAGGAAGCAATACTACCTTGGGATCTTCTTCAAGGTGAGGCAATACTTTGAACGTTAACAGTTGTCTAGGGAAATCCTCCTGAGCTGTTATTTGCTTCTCCTGACCTTAATTTGCAATTAACTCGCAATGCTGTACACCAGTGACGCCACTTTCCACTCTTCGCCCCAGGCCTAGTATTCAAAATCTGAATTTGTGAGAGGGGCGGAGAATCAGGAGCGCAGAAAATGTCACCCCTGTTGTCCGCTATGATAATTAAGGTGTCCTATGTGGTACACAGTGAATACGTTGTCTTGACTGTAACCCATCATCAGCCGGCTAGGATGCTTCGTTCTTCTTTCCAGCAATCATCAGTGTCGTACGTTATCATGACATAACAGCCATGATAGGTAAAGCAAAGTATTTGAGTGCATGCGAATTTTAGAATGTTGAGATAAACAATATAGGAGAGAGTATAGAGGAATTAACAATATATCATGTACTTTCGATTTAATGGGACAAGTGGTACACAACACTTTTTTAGCAATTTGGTAACACAACCTAAAAAAATTAACCATCTGGACGACACAACTCTTAAAGTTCAATTCGGATTTGTATTTTGCCAATGTTGGCAGAGTGAGCTGGCATGGGGCACGTATGGCCACATCGACTCTCCTGCGTACAGCAAAAATCCATGTCCCTGGATAATAACGTTAACTGATTACTTGCAGTATCAAGTTTTGGCGGCTGACATACGTATATTGCAAAGCGTACTACATCGGTAATATACAGAACGTTACTGACACTGGTAGTGGCTTCTGACATTCCTTCAACCAAGATTCGTGACAGGTACCAAGTACAAAGCATGACATAACTAAACTTATTCCTTGGCGTGAAAATTGTCCTGGCAACAAAATTGTCTGACGGAAAACTAAACCAGGTGACGGTCCTGACAGACGCACGACGCATTTCAGCCGGTATGTTTGACTGCCGAGCGGTGGTGACATGACCTTCCTCCAGCAAGCCAACCTACACCCCTCAATCAGTCGTCTCCCATACTCAGAACGTTGGTTTGTCACCCCTCTGGATTGGAACGTCAGCCAGCGGACCTTTCGTGCTCGCTTCCATCGCGTTCATAGCTGCCGCAAGCAGTCCGCAGAGAGCGCTCTCCGGAAGGATAGGCACGAAGCCAAAATTCTCCCGGGTTTGGGGGTCAGATGTTAAATTTCATCCAAAATCCTGCAAATTTGGACCAAAGCACTATGAAGCTGCCCACTATCTAGTGTAAACGTCTTGGCCCAGGGTGGAGGAAGAGGCCCAGCCCCTTTGCCTGCCCCCTTAGCTATGTCTCTGATCTATAGACATAATATGCATGCGTAGAAATAAAACTGCACACTGCAAGTTCAAACTGGCGAGCTACGAGTTCAAAAGGCATTGTCCGCATGTTTTCTTTTTGCTAAGACCAGCGCAGGGTATTGCGCGATGTCGTAATAACGACCAGCGCCAGAGACTGGGGTGAACCAGCAGCCAGCACCGAGAACTCCCTTCGTGACCCCGACAGGCGCTGGCACAGACTGGTGACCCTCGCGCCTGGTGTGCTGCTTCTCCGGCGTGGTGTGGTCCGACATGAGAAACCAAAGCGCGGCAGCAGCAGACACGGTATCAGCGCGCCCGCCACCACGCTGAAGCCTTATACGTGCCGACCAGTGGCGGTCATGTTTGTTTGGGAAGGAGCGTCATTAGCGGCTCTCCGCTGGACTCCGAGCGTCACCAGCGCCGCGTCAGATAAGGTCGACCAGCCACGGATGCGCCGCTAACTCCTGAGCTCCCAGCTGGTAGGTGGCACGGCCGGGAGCCTGTGGCAGCCGCCCGTCGCCCGGATACGCACCCAAAAGAGAGACCTGCAGCCTGCCACAGCCAACACCAGCCACGAACACACCGCCACCGTTGCGCCGTCATTGCTAGAAACCTGTTGTATTTTGCGGATAAGGCGTGGCGCTGTCTACATCTGAAGCGAGAAGATTTTATGATGCTTTAAGAAGACGCCATAAGGTGATGCAACCCACACTAGCTGATTCCACCATGGGCGACCACTTACAAGTTTGAGCTCATTTGTAGACCAAAAAAAAAAAACATTTTCCACACCTGACCACACCCTCGCAGTTTGAGTCACTTGCGTGGCGCACATAAGCACACAGTTCGACAATGGCATATACAACATACTGTGGCACAAAGGTAGCATCGCTTTCATAGCCATGGTCACGATTAAGAGTCCGCACTGGTTAATGAGTAGTTCAGCGATGCTCTTGGGCAAAGTTGTTAGCTTCACTAATATGAATGCTAAAAACCAGGACAGCGTGGCGACAACAATACGAGATTCCCCTGCACAGATGTCATTCCGACGAGACACCGATCACAGCGCTGCAGCGCCCAGGCTCACTGCATCTCGACCGCGCCGCACTGGCGCTGCTCCACATCCTGGATGGTCTCCGCCAGCCGCCTGCGGACCGTCTCGGGCAGCAGGAACGTCACCAGGCCGGCCGAGGCGGCGCACACGGCGAACGCGCAGCTCGGGGCGGCCCAGTGGACCGCGCCGAGCAGGTACACCATGTACGGCGCCGCCACGGAGCCGATCCGAGCACACATGGACGACGTGCCGACGCCCATGGTGCGCACCGATGTCGGGAACAGCTCGGCCGAGTAGACGTAGAGGATGCTGAAGGCGGCCGCTATAGCCAGCTTGCCGGCGGTGACCAGCGTCATGCGCGCCCACGCCGGCGACGCTGGGATGCCGAGGGTAGCGGGCAGGGCGGCGGCCACGGCCAGGAAGAGGCAGGCTGTGACCGGGCGCCGGCCGAATCGGTCGATCAGCGGAATCGAGACGACGTAGGTGGGAATCTCCAGTGCGGCTGATACGGTCAGACTGACGTACATATTGCTGCTGAGGTCGGCCATGTCGAAGGTGATGCCGTAGAAGAGCATACTGACCACCAGCCAGGCCCAGCAGCTGGAGAGGGTGATAACGCGCAGGCGAGGCGTGGCCAGCAGCACCAGCGGACCTCGCGAGTAGCACGGCCCCACGCAGCAGCCGCGCCGCGCCGACCCCGCCTCGCGCGGCCGACCCTCTGACCGGTAGCTGACTGCGGTCACCTGCTGGAGCTCCTTGTCTCGCACGGCGCTTACCATGCGTCTCACCTCCTGGTCGTCGGGCAGGGATCTCTTGTTCACGCGGGCCATCTTCTGCAGAATGACGACAGCTTCGTCCACTCTGCCCTGGATGAGGAGCCAACGCGGTGACTCGTCTAACACCCAAGGGTAGACTAGCAAAAGCAGAGCGGGAGCAGTGATAACTAGCTGAAGCTTCCACCACGTTCTGCAGTGGAACGCTACCAGCGCCAGGATCATGTTTCCGATGCATGTAGGAATCTGGAAGAGCATTCCCAGCCTGCCTCGCAGATGCGGCGGGAACATTTCCATGAAGAGCACGAAACTGACTGTGAAAAGACAGCTGATAAACACAGCCGTCAGGCACCGCAGACTGATAAAGGCGACGTAGGAGGTCGCGAAGGCGACGGACGTGCTGAAGACGATGAAGAACACGGACGACACCACGAGCATCCTTTTTCTACCAAACTGGTCACTGAGAATGCCACTGCCAAACACCCCGACCAGGATGCCCAGCATGAAAACGGCCTGGTCGGTGGCGCGCAGTGCCCGTCTGTGACAGACCAGGTTCCACTCGGTGACGATCGTGGACGGGTACTCCGACCGGTCATACGTCCACCGCTCACACCACTGCGTCGCGTTCGTCACCACCACGCCATCCTCCGTGTAGATGACCTCGAACCGCACACACCGGTCGTATTTTTTGGCGCCGCTGGAGTCGGTGGTGGACGGTATGAACTTGTGTTCGGGTAGGTCGCCGCTAGATGTCCGGTTCCGGATGTCACTTGGCAGCTCGCACCAATGCGGGGGAGTGACGCCGAAATATATGTTCGCCATCATTTGGAAAGGCGACAGGACCGATATGATCGCAATCCAAAAATACAGCCAGGCGTGCCACCGGCCAAAGCCACCAACCAGGCGTAAAATGTCCTCAAATGTTTGCGCATGGTCGAAACCACCTGGCGTAGCATTGCTGTCACCGCCACCGGTACACTGGTGAGACAAAGTCCTCATATTTCGCCACGGCCGCCGCAAACCACTGCTGGACCCTGACTGGACCGCTGTCTGGTCAGGCCGGGGCTGCCCGTCTGTTTATTATTCCACGTCGTCGACAAGTGTGCGGCCTAATCTGCGCTGGGTGCGGTCAAAGTTAACGCAGCTGCCGAGGGAAGACGCACATACTTAAACGCACACAGCGTAGCGCTTATGCTTCTTGCGACAGTGGAGCGCAAGCGGATTAGTCATCATGTGCGGCGAGCAGTAAGGAAGGATCACTTTTGAGCTAGGATGAGAGTGAAAAATTCCAGTGCAAAAAGAACGTACAGGAGTGAAAAATTATATTAACAAAAGCTGAAACTTGTAAGTCGTGAGAGATAGTTCTGCAAACAGAGGCATACGTTTCAAGTTGGCATTGACGCAATACCATAAACATTACAAAAAAGTATTTGTTTTGCACATGTTAGGTCATTACACTGAAACAGAATACATTTAAAAAAGTAATTCATAACAGTGTGATGAGCACCAATACTACGTAGCATCAATGTCTTGATGCTATACTTTGCAGTTCACCTCCATAGGATTTCAAACGACGAAGCAAAAGAGTTCAACAACAATGAATTCAGCATGCAGACAGCATTCAAACAAAAGAAGTATTGACTCCGGCACATCGACATATCACCAAATCAAACAAACGACTGACATACTGTTGGCTTCTGTTAAGATCGGGTCAGGAAATACAAATATACCACTGTTTCTTGAAAAATGCATATGCTGACATATGCACATAGATAAAGTAATCTAACTAAGCCTAAACTAAAGAAGCCTTACCTCATCTCATCCTGCCCAAACTATTTGTATCACAGCAGCATTTGTGAACCGCTGATTCTAACAAAATTCCTACTGTTGCTTACAATCCAAGTAACCAACTTAACCTAACTTGAAGTAGTCCATACTCTGAACATTATCTCAACCTACCCCACATATTTCTTGACAACAGCAGCTGTGATGAAAACATGGAAGAGTTTATTTCCGACTGATTTTCACCTTGTGTTTTGGTTGAGTTCATTTGCGTCAGCTTGACACCAATGAAAGATGACAACACTTCTCTCATAATAAAAATTTGATGTACATTAAAAAGCGAAGGGGTCAATTTGGTTTAAAAAATCAGGTTTTGAAAGCAGGTAAGACTGGCAATTGGGTACCCAACAGGCGAAAATTACTGGCTTTTTAAGAGCAGGTTTCTTTCTACTTCCCCAAACAAAGTCAAGGTCTATTGCATGGTTCGCTGGCAGACAAGGTCAACCAACCCACCCATAAAATGTAAATATGAATAATGCCCATCAGCATATCAATAATACCCACCAAGCGACCTTCCTATGTGAGAAAGCAACCATCGCTGCCCAGCTATTTTTGATATGAGCGCAATGACGCCTACTTGCCCGAAAACATCTGTATCAGAGTACTTCACAACTGGAAAATTATAAGGGACGGTAAACTCGCAGCATATGTGGAAAAAACAACATAGACACCGAAAGTTAGGTAGAATGCAACTATTGCTAGACATATTTTATAGTACAGCCAATCAATCTTGTGAGCTAAACACCCGAAAAGCATAAGCGAAATAGCATTTTATAATAATGGCGAAAAAGCGAAAAGAACATGACAGGTGATGCCTGTCACGACACAACTGCCGTAGCGCTGCGAACTTGCAAGGTAACAAACCCCAACAGCTATACACAAGAGCTAGATATATACTTTATACAAGAGCTATATTATAGAATAATAACAGCGAAAAAACGAAAAGAACATGACAGGTGATGCCTGTTACGCCATAACCGCCGCAACACCGCAAACTCTCAATGTAACAAGCCCCAAGAGCTTTGTTTAAACGGCTAAACTTACCTCGCGCATCGATTTTAAGCAAGGTCACGCATGAGGTGTATAGTCGCCTAGTCAGGTTTTGACTGTCGCATTTCTTGCCAAAAATGCGTGGCAAGTTAGTAAGCACATACAACTCACGAGAAGTGTTTGGTTTCGGTTTACATAATCCCTTGTTTCTAAATAAAAGTTTTGCTCACGTTTTTTTACTGAATACCGTGTATCTATTACCTCGTACAAGGCGCACAATTTCTTTCACTTCCATGACGTTCGAAAAATTCCTGCACGTGCTTCCTGTTCCATGCGTTTTCTCTCCGTCAGAACATGCGCGTGGAATGTCTGTATGTGTATCCTATGTGTATGTGTATCCTAACGCCACTGACAATGCAATGTGATGATAAATGCACAGGATATATTGTAAGCAGTGGCCGAGTAAAGCAGAGGTGTGTTTCCGATTCAAATATCGCCGGACGAGTTCCAGGAATAGAAAATTAGCTTGCGACCACAATGGTCCACGCTGCGCCAGTCACTGTTAACTGCAGCGTTGCTGTCCCGTTACACGACAGTTACATAACGCACGCACGTTACATTCCAGGCCAACTGGTACCGGGCGATGCAGTACTGCCGGTACCACAACATGCACCTGGCCAGCATAGAGAGCGCAGAGGAGAACGACGAGTTGGAGCAGCTCATCAAGGACAACAGTAAGATTCCCCCAGGAGCGCCCTTTTGAAGGGAACTGAGGGGGAGACCTTGACTCTCGGCTGGAACCCTTTCAGGTTACTCGTTTCATGTATTGCCACAGATCCAACATTTGAAGTGTAAATGAATGGAGAATGAGGGAGGGCCGACCCGGAAACGTATACAAAAAGCGACATTCTTGGAGCCTACCACCGCCTGAGCACAAATGTTCAGGCACGTGTCACAGAACATATGTAAGACATATTACATGCTTTATATGCTATGTGGGCGCCCTAGGCCGCTCCACGTCAGTTGGTACGCCTTTAAACCCGATGTGCGGAGAGGGCTCATCAGGCAGAAATTATGCGCTATCTTTGAGATAAGAACTACCAGGCATGACAGGTGACCGGTGATGTAAACTAAGTTTTGTCGAGTACTCACTGACGCTGAAATTGGATGTCAGCAGTTCACCACACACCTCAGTATTGCAAGAGCATGAATTCGTATTCTAGCACCGCGAGACACACCGTGGTCCCAGCAGACATATAGCCAAGGGAACGAGGTAAGTGGACATCCCCGCCTTTTCCCTTAGTGAACATATTTACTCTAGATTGTGGGGATAATAAGACACCCACACACCGCTCCCCGAATTGGTGATATAACTGCTGCTTTCTGCTTAACTATGCTGCTATAACTATAACTGCTTTCTTATGCATGCGAAAGAAAGCAGCTGTGCTTCCTTTTATTGGTGCGTAGCAAATCGTAACGGTTATGGGAGAGACCATGCGTTTCTTTTCCAAATTGACGAATGTCTGACATAAGTACCCACGTTAAGCAGCGCTGGTTTTTTGTGTGCTCGCCCCACCATCTGATCTTTAAATTCCGAGTCAGTGGCAAAATTTACGGCGAAAGCTTTACATGCCGCAATGCTCGACACGGCTCGTGCACCCTCTCTGGAAATACGTGACCGGTTAGCGCGGCCGCTACCGCCGACCGCAGGCTATCCCAGTCAGAGGCAAATAGCTGACGTCTACAGCGGCTCAAACTTACCTCCAGACGGCTAAGGGAATCGCGAAGCAGGCGCTCTTACCAACTGAACTATGGCGGGGGGGGACGAGCTAAGATACATTTTGGGACGGGACTTTACAGTGCAGTTTGACTGTTAATTGTATATATATATATATATATATATATATATATATACAAACAATATGCAGTCGAATGTATACGTATCTGAGTGTATACACACACACACACATATATATATAAATATATATATATATATATATATATATATATATATATATATATATATATATACAAACAATATGCAGTCGAATGTATACGTATCTGAGTGTATACACACACACACACATATATATATATATAAATATATATATATATATATATATATATATATATATATATATATATATATATATATATATATATATATATATGTGTGTGTGTGTGCGTGTGTGTGTGTATGTGTGTGTGTGTGTGTGTGTGTGTGTGTGTGTGTGTGTGTGTGTGTGTGTGTGTGTGTGTGTGTGTGTGTGTGTGTGTGTGTGTGTGTGTGTGTGTGTGTGTGTGTGTGTGTGTGTGTGTGTGTGTGTGTGTGTGTGTGTGTGTGTGTGTGTGTGTGTGGTGTGTGTGTGTGTGTGTGTGTGTGTGTGTGTGTGTGTGTGTGTGTGTGTGTGTGTGTGTGTGTGTGTGTGTGTGTGTGTGTGTGTGTGTGTGTGTGTGTGTGTGTGTGTGTGTGTGTGTGTGTGTGTGTGTGTGTGTGTGTGTGTGTGTGTGTGTGTGTGTGTGTGTGTGTGTGTGTGTGTGTGTGTGTGTGTGTGTGTGTGTGTGTGTGTGTGTGTGTGTGTGTGTGTGTGTGTGTGTGTGTCTACCTTCAGTAGAACATATTTACATATTCGACTGTATACTGTTTATTAGTCACCTGGTTGTGCCACGAAAAGGGGTGTCGAAGGTCGGTATGGGCGCGTTAAGTGCGATGTGCTTAAGAGTAACAGGAACACTGGGTGGTCATCGTCGTCATTGGAGCTTTACCACACGTTTAGCTGGTGAGGCCATGCGGTGCCGCCTGCGTCTCGCCCTCACGGGGAGGGCGGACACTGCAAGGACTTGGGATGATGCTAATCGTTTTTTGAGAACAAATCTGGCCTAGAGCACAGCTTTCAAGCGTCGAGATTTCTCCATATAACTCATGGTTTTTTGATGACGTCACTTATCCGCTATCGTCCGGTACACTGAAGGCCGTTTATTTTCAACATGAGGACTTCCAACTCATAACGTCGAATCACCAACAGTTCCTGGCCTTTCTTGCTGATACCAGGTTCCCACACACGTCAAGGCGTTGACCTGGCCATTTGTGAATGCGACCCCTTTGGTTGCCCCGTCCGGTCCCCCGCTACTCTGTCTTTGACGTACCTGGAGAAAACATCGTGCAAGCTGCGCTTCATGCACAAGTACATCCTATAAGTACATCATAGCAGTGTGCAAGAAAATTGTCCATAGCCTCTAGTCTGTGAGGGTGGCCGCACCATTCTGCATAAAACCGTCTTTTTGCGCCTCGGACCAACTTTGATGATAGAAAAACAACACATTTTCTGTGCTAACACCTCATTCTGATCTTTTCACAAAAATGCGACGCTACCTTTTGTTCTCACTGATGGGAATTTATGCAGCAAAACCAAAATGGCATCGACCAAAACTGGATATTTTTTAATATCACATCTGAAACGCAAGGCAAAGTGACAGAAAGCCGGGAAAAAATCAGGTTTTTGGATGAGGTTAAGTCTATGTTATCGGCTTGGCCCCCTCCCCTACCAATTTTAGAAAATGGCGCTCCTGATACTGAAGACGGTTGTAAAAGCACGTCAAAACTCGTAACGTTTGCGGCCAACTGTTATCGCAGTCACGATCAACCGGTTAATGATGAACGCATTTATCTGAAATTTGATTATCTCATAGTGTTTACATGCAGTTGTGATCTTTTTAAATGCCTTTGCTTTAACTTTAGCCCTGATTTGGCCTTTTCATAGCGCTGACTGAGAGGGGAGGGTTCACTGTGATCCCTGCCACTTCCAGCTAAGAAAGACAGAACCTCTAGTAAACCTCCAGCTAGGAAAGGGTCGATTTCCCTGAAAGTCGCGTAATTTCAGCTTTACGTGCCAATAATTTAAAACTACATCAAGTGGCAATATGAAACTTACACAGGCCTGTTCGTTATCTGAGTTTGAGCACACTGATTTGTAGTTTTATTTGTTTTAGCATATATAGATATGATGAAGATTTTCGTTAATATGACAGTATCGGCCTGCCACGCACAATCGGCGGATTCGTCGGTTGTCAACCGCTGCCCACTCTGGCAGTGGATCGCCGTGCAGTCTTCTTAAAAAACCGTCGCTGTTTGAAAAACTTAACTGCTAGAGACACTTCAAAACACATGCAAGGTATGCTTCAAAGCCTACCAAAAATGTGGGCGCGGTGAAACTGCATGCTCACGATATCCTCATATAACCCTGGGGGATCACATCGACCCCGTCCTATCAGGGCTGGGGTTAATGTGTACAAAATTGCATTGTCTTACAGTACACAAATGTAACTACCGCTTGACATACTAGTACAGCTACCGCTGTGCAAGGCCGAGGCCAAATCTGGCGCCACAACAGCGCTATGTTGTTGCATTCCCTCGACCTTCCCGCAGGTTTCGGTCACGAACATTTCTGGATATCGGGCACGGACCAGGGCGAGGAGGGCCGCTTCTTCTGGATCTCCAGTGGCCGACCCATCACCTTCACCAACTGGAACGCCGGCGAACCCAACAACTTCGAGTACGAGAACGGCGAGCTGGAGCACTGCATGGAGCTCTGGGACCGCGACGGGAAGGGCATGAAGTGGAACGACTCGCCGTGCTCGTTTGAGACCTATTTCGTGTGCCAGGTGAACCCGTGACCCAGCGCCCAACTCCTGACCGCCAGGGTCACGGGGTCGTGGACATCAATGCCTGCCGGCAGATGAATTGGCTTCGTGCAAGGCGGAGTCGTGACGATGGATTTTGCGCAATATTTTGCATCAGGGACCGCATAGTGTGCATCAGTATTGGATAGTCGATCGCCGGATGGCAGCTGGATGATGCAGCTCACGATATGAAATGCCGTTTTTACAAATAGTTATGGGTATAGCTTATGCCACTGCTGTTAGCATCTCACTATTTAGCTTCAGTCGAGCTGATTTCACTGGTGCATCCATCACCTACTACGATGATTGTACCCGACACGTGATGACCGCTTCTTGAAAGAAGTCTTGAGCTTCCCCACTTGCAATATGAAGAGTAGGTCTTGAAAACCATGACGCAATCACTGAAGAATCGCCTCGAATGTCGTCATTGCAATCACTGACGCCAGAACTGGCATTGCCACTTACGTACGCTTGCTTTTCTCGAGCCTTGAGAGGCGGCACGAGCTGAAGAATGTTGGCACTCGGTCTGCTTTGGCAGCCACTTACATGTGGAGTTTGACTCGGAGGAAAAGGTGGCGGCAATTGCTATCCGAAAGATGGCAGCATACCCTAATGGTGATCGCACATGTCAAATGGGGCAACAAAAACAGCAGTCTAAATACCCTCTAACCTAGAATTTTACCACACACCACACAGCTTACAAAGGCATGAGCTGATTGAAGAACCAATATAAACACAATTAATGCTTATCTCACGTCTCAACGAGAGACAAAACAAGAGTACACCTCCGTCACATCGTGCCCCCAGATGAAGATGGTGAATGTCATGTGTATGTATGTTTATGTACAAGTTTGTGAACGAAAGAAGCATTTGAGACATGGTATGATAGACATCGATTTACCATGTAAGTTGGTCAGTGCAGCTGGGAGGAACATTACAAATCCATTAGAGCACTTCCCATGGCCCTATTCTGGTCTTATCCAAATCTATGTAAGGGGCTAAATGCACCTGCGAGAAACATCACGCATACATAAGATCGTTTTTCTTGGCACTTTCTTGTTAGACTTAAGAATAACCGAAAAGTCAGTTCTGTCCACAAATTCCTGTTTGCGCCAGCAGGAGCAATGCTAAGAAGTGCTCTCAATACACTACAAAATAACAGTGTATTGGCATTTCGATAATATGTCTATGTCAAAACCGTAATAATGCAATATTTCAATGTGCATATATTTGAAATCCCAAAGCAATTCGGACCTCATTTCTAAACATTTCTAAGCGAGGCACATTTTTAGCAGATTGCCTTCAGGTCATCAATATGGTGCTCTCTAGAAAGCGTGACTAACTATTTAAAACGTTGTTTGAAAAAACCGAACAGGAAACACAGGTAGGTTTAAAGCCAACGCTCATTCACCTATTACGCCATGAATTCGGGCCAAGACCCGTAACTGGAATATCAACACATTATCATTTGGTACTTTGTTTGCTACCAACAAGTAAGACGCTAGTAGAAGTACTCATGTGGGTTAATTGCCACTAGTGTTGTGTTACATCATGTTTGGCATGCTTTCTTGCTTCTCACACAACGTTTTTGCCACCATCGCCGCTGAATATGATTAATCTATGATGATTTCTCCCAACATAACGTGACTCAGCCATACCTGGCAACCGAGGCAGGTGTATATTTTTTTATTATCACGTGGCGTGCAAACTTAAGCGGTTGCGCCTGCACGTAGGAAACCAAACGTAACCGCGCGCAATGTATACATGTGTGAATTCCGTTGCATGTTTGCTGTATTTTCCTTCATCAAATCAGACAGGTACAAGCGGAACGCGGTATGAGTGAAACAACAACAGCTGGGAATATTTCGGAGAACAACTTGCCAGCGGGCTCTGCACCGTCGCGCGCACCGGGCCACAAATGTAATACGTACGCTCCAGGCGTGCTGCTATCGGATTCAGAGTAGCATACTCACACGGTCGACACATGAGGGCGTAGTGTTTAGCAATCCCTAGTGCAAGCCTCGAAGCGCTTGGCAACTATCTTCAAGCTTTCCAACATCCCTTTACCAGACCGTTTCACCAATGCAGCTGAAGAGAGCCCCATGACCCAAATCTCACACCCTGCCAGTTAGGCGGTGGGTGGGGCCTTGCCGTGGTGGTGCGTGTACCGGCCCCAGCAGGAGCCTCTGCGCAAGTCGGACCCTTCGACGACGTTCCTAGCAAAGCGTTGCGGTCTGTGGAGAAAAGTCGGTCTGCGGTCCAGCTTTGACCGACTGTTTGAAACACTACCTCTGGGACCGTTGTGTTGAACTGAAACATTGTGCGCCATTGAGCCATCGTTTCAAATCATATTTCCATGAGCGACGTGAGGAAGGATGAAAACCGATGGAACGCTGACGTCGGAGGGCTTGTTTCGGGTGGTGAGCCTTGGACCAGACTTTTGCAATATCATTTGACTGAGTCAGATCGTGACATCCGTGTTGTGTGAAAGGTGGCCGCGCTCCTGAATGTACTTGCATGATGGTTCGATGCTGGGTACACATGTGGGAACAATGCTTGTAACAATTAATGTGCTCAATATACGCATAAGGCGACGGCATATTGCGTGATGTTTGTTCACCATCAGAATGTATTTATGTTCCTGTAATATGTTCCCCAATCCCCAGAATTTCCCTCTGACCCCATGCTCACAAGGTGATACGCACTTCTAAAGTCATTTTCTCTCTCCGTTGGGGGACTGTGATGACACCTGCTGCAGCCGGTTGGATAATTCACCCGACGTTACGCTTGATTGTGCACTGATTGGGCGTGCCACGACGACTGGTTTGAGGTACGAAATGTGACGACCCAAATCGTTGTCAATTTCACACGCGTCGCTGTGATAGATTGAGCCACACGGTGCCTCGCGGTGCTGAGAATGGTTGGCAGGGGGCCAGACCCGGAGAGATCTCGCAGCGGCGTGGCGCAACCCCGCCCGGACGTGCGGGTACGCCCCTGAATATCGCGAGCGAACGATGTTTTGGTGATGTTCCCGGTCGGCGTCGGCGTAACGAAGCATCCATGATTAAAGCACACGCGTGTGACCATAAACGGCACGATTGTACATGGGTAACATGTTCCTCTAAAGTGCGATCTCTACACCGAGACAAATGTGTCTAAAACAGCATTGCTTACCCAGTTAATGCAGAAAATCATGCAGATGCAATGCTATGCGATGGAGCTTCAGTTCCCGCACCATAATGCCATATGTCATAAATTCTGAGGACATGCCTCATCGGCGGGCAATATGACAGATGCATATGAATCGGGCCACTCCTCAGGATTCTCTGTAAGCATGCAGCTAAGCCAAGCGTCATGTTTTGGCAGACCGGTTCCCCTCAAAACTCGACCACAGCTGCGGTTGACCTCACCCACATCAATATTGCCCTGACACCCCGCCGACACGCTGAGCGTTGTGTTGGGTGGGGTGCTGAATGTTGCAGCGCGGCTCCCAGCGAGGCATCAACGTCAAACAAACACGACTTCCGCAGCGGCAGGCAGCCGGCTGTCTACACTTGGCCGACGAACGCTGCATCGGGCCCGCATTTAGCCGTGGGCATTAGTCTCTCGCCCGGCCGGGCCAGGGTTTATCGGAACTATTGGCGTCACACATGTCCAACAATAACAGTGCCCGGTGGCGTCTGAGTGTGCCCGAGAGGAGGCGGAGGCGGAGGGGAGGGGGGGGGGGGGGGGGGGGGAGGCTGGCCGGCGCTCAGCGGCAGTTGACAGTTGGAACCGGGCGACGGTGGAGGCTCGCGCGGGTGAATCTGATGCTTCGGTGAGCTGGTGCCGGTAGTGATGTAGCTCACGAGCTCCGTATGCTGATCGACGGTGCTTCTGGTGGTGCTGGTGGCTCTCACCTCGACATCACTGGCGGACTGTGACGAAGGTGGCGATAGTGACGGTGACGGTGCTGGTTTCTCAGCTGTATTGTAAGTGAGTTATCGCGGCGGTGCGCCTGACAAGATGCCGTAAGTGACCCATTGACAGGGTAGTGCGATTGATAAAAGTGATAAAGGCCACAGAAAGGTGGCGGCAAACTTCACTGGGGTCGGTAGCAGTGACCGCAGGAGGCTGTTCTACGTAGAAGCTGCCCACACACCGAAGGCTTTAGGTGACCACCCAAGTGGAAAACAAAATAATTGCTGATTCTTGCCACCCGGTGACTTTTTGGGAACGGTGGACATGCTCTTGACCTCATGCCCGTAGTGATAACGTGCCACGGACCGCAAAACACGACTTAAAACCTGCCCGAAGCTTGAAGAGACAGTGAACGTATGTGACGGCTCAGATTAGCTTGATCTCACGGCGTATGACATACCACCGATCTCCTCGAGACCTGGATAGCGGCCTGTGAGACATACCACCGATCTCCTCGAGACCTGGCTAGCGGCCTGTGAGACATACCACCGATCTCCTCGAGACCTGGCTAGCGGCCTGTGAGACATACCACCGATCTCCTCGAGACCTGGCTAACGGCCTGTGAGACATACCACCAATCTCCTCGAGACCGGGCTAGCGGCAGCTTTGCTACTGGACTGACGCCTGCTCCACGCGTCACCTGCCGTGCAACAGAGCAGGCAGCTGAGCTCTGAGTCGATCGGCAGCCAGAAAAGACTACAAGAGGCGTGAGCGAAACGGAGCTAGGCAAATCCGAGCGGTCGACGGAGCAGGGAGTGATGTCATCCGACTCGCAGGGCTACTACACCGCCTATGCGGACGAGGTAAGTGGAGTGTCCGCCGTCGGCCGGCCGCGGCAGCTCAGCGGGCGGTCGGCCGTGACACCAGCCCCGATGCCATGCGTCGTTTGCTGAGATTCGGTCAAACACACTGCAGCGAGTGAGTATTCCTTCTTCCGTAGCTGTCAGAGCCTGATTGTGCTCGGTGGTGTCAAACCCATTTTTGATGGTGTGTTTCTTGAGAATCATCAGGAAATGTACTGACAACGAGCACAATGAATAATTTAGGGAATTCCTCAAGATTGGTCCCTAAAATAAAATCACGAACTCATAATCTGCGACTTCTACGACTGTTGCTATGCCTTACTTCCCTGACCGGTTGCGGCATATGATGGGCGAGTATTTCCCTCCACGGGGTGGCTTTTGCTGGTGCCTCGCTGCGAGTGTGGCCCGGGCCTCTCCAAATGGTGGGCTGCTAACGAGGGCAGGGCACGCGCACAACGGCCCGCTCACTCACGGTCAGCGTAGGACTGGCCGGCGCCCTCTAGCTTGACCTGTCGCATTCCGTGCGTTCCGACGCTTCGGTGCTTCCAAGTGTCAAGGACCGCGGCGCTCGGGGACCGCTTGCTCTCGGGCTAACTCTGGCGCAATCCGAGACGAAACTTTCGCGGCCTCGCCTCAGAGGCATCGCCGCTATTGCCGAAAGTTTGCCAGCATTCAGCTGTGTGGGGCGGCAGCGAGAGGACTCCTCCTGGGACGCTGGAGCCTTGCGCGCGACCACAGGAGTCACGCGGTCCCGCGGGATCAACCCCGCCCAGACGCAGGTCCCGCGTCGGCGGCCCGGTGGAGACCATGCCGTCGGTACGACGCTGCGCCGTCGCCTCGACCCGCGTCGGTGCCGACGGCGCTCGCGCCCGGCGTCGGCGACGACGGCAGATGTCACGGGCCCCGCCCCCGGCTGGCGCCGCCGAGCGAAGGGCGGCCAACGCCGCTCCTGCGTGACGCGCCGGACGACAGACTGAGGGGCGAGAGCAGCAGGGCGACGGCGTGACGCGGTCGGCTGGCGGGGCTGGGGCGTGATGCCGGCGTGACGGCGGTTCGCACCGTCTCGAACAACTGGAGTACTGTTCGTGTCTGTGTGTAATAGGCAGCTAGCATACTGTTGAACAGTAGGAGGCCAGGCGCTGTGAGCGATGATCGGAACCAATAGGTGTGAAAGCTGTCCATTGTTATCATGTTATCAAAGATAGGATCCGAACTTTTTTGAATACACGGATTTCCGGGATCGGAGTTTCCTTCAAGCAAGGCTCGCTGTGTGAGCCCTCATCCCTGCCATCCAATCGCGCCATTCCGGGTAAATGGTGTAAGTTGGCAGCAAAAGCTCAACGTGCCGCCATGTTCGGCACGGTTTGCCCTCTGACGTCACCTGACTTTTAGCGCGACCGCTGCCACCGGCCGCTGGGCATACCTGTCAAAACAAATAGCGGGGGCTTAAACCGACCCGATCGCGCCCGCCACGGGTGGTTAGGTCCGAATTAAGGCGCTCCATCCAACTGAACTGTCTGAAGCTGTCAACAGGGTTGACAAATTCAGTCAACGATCTTCGTAAAGCTGTATTAGTTTACGAACTTGGCAATGGTGACCGAATCGTTGCGAAAAAAACAGCATTTACATGTGAATATTGGCAACAAGAAACAGTTTAACACTAGTGAAATTTGCATGGCCTAGTATCCGGTTTAGGATGCAGCGTGTTGTATGTGAGACTGGTTTTGAAAAGCGCGCCATCGGTCGCTTTCGTTTTCAGTTCTGACGCACGTGTGGACTGGGGACACTTTTGCGATCCCTTGACGAGTTCTAGCCGACACGCTCACACACACCGTGCAGTTGGCTGCAGGTGTCACGTTTTATTTCCCCCAGTTGCTAACATCTAAAACAAATCCTTAAAAAGGCTCCGAAATGGGCAGACCAATCGGTTGCGCTCGAGAGCATGTGACAGTCTGCACAAGTTTACCCATACTTTTGACAACACGATTGCCATTTTTATTTGTTTGGTAGAGTTTTTAACCTTATATCTCCACAACACTGGTTATCGAGCTCTGGATTTAATGTTAACCATTGTTCGTCCGGGTTTTCTTCGTAATTTGAGCATTTCACTGTTCAAAGTGAATCGGAAGGGAATTGTGGAATTGTGGAATTGTGATGACAGTGTGATATTGCGGCGAAAATCTGTACGATAAAACAGTCTGCACATCAATTTCTGACAATTTCAACGGCGCAATTTCTAGAATTGTGTGCTTTACCGCTGAAAGCTGTATAATCTTTAAACCTGTGACGGAAAAATATGACCTTTCAGAAAAGGTGACGGCCGAGTGGGACCGGGCCGGAGCACTCAAATCAAAATTTTGGCCGAGTTCAAGTAAGTCGCTCTTGGCTGGTGATCTCGCTCAAATCAGGTTGTTCTTTTTACGTCCATATGTAGTAAAAAATGGTATGTGCATATATACATATACCAAAATTTATATATGTGTTTGTATATATACACATATTTGAAACTACAGACCAATCTTCCCGTGTGTATAAATATGCGAGCTTATAGGGGAAACGCAACGCACGTCGTCACGCACTTTCATAGGGTGACAGCGACCGTATTGGCCATATTAACGTTCAAGGGCCACGGCGCAAGTGGAATTTAGCCCACCCCCACGTGGGGGTCAAAGGCGCTAACCACGCGGTGAGTACCGCCGCGCCGTCCCTTTAAATTGTTTTCATGAATGCATGTGATAACATACATACCGAGCTAAAAAAAAAATGGAGGCCTGCATCCATACGCAAATATATGGACACATGCAGACATATTGATATTACCTTGTTTGCAACAG